AGTATCAATAGATTGGTTACTATTTATTGACAATCCATCAATCTAGAACAGAGGAAAGAGCTCTGGCTCTGGAGTCAGACAACCTAGGTTTAAATCCTATCTCTGATACTCGCTACCTTTGTGGCCTTGGGCAGGTCATTTTCCCTATGGGGCAAAATGAGGGGGTTAAACTAGATGGCCTCAAAGGTCCCTTCCAGCTCTAAATGACCTATGGAAAGATAAATAAGAATTGGACAGGACAAGATGGTGTGGAGGGGAATCCATTGAAAAATCACAGATGTGGGCAATAGGAACCTCAAAGATCTTCTAGTCCTACCCCCTCTGTTTCCTTTTGATCACTATAGGCTGTTGAACAGGGGAGTAACTGATGACAAAGTGTGATGACCCTGGAAGAGGTATGCAATGTGCATTGGGAGTGGCAGGGACTTATAAACTAGCTACAATGCTCTAGGCAGGCAGTGATGAGTGCTTGCATTAGCATGGTAGTATCAGAAAAAGAGAAGAGGGGAAACTGAAAGATATTATGAAGCAATGGGGGTATGATTTGATATAAGGGATAAAGGTGAGGTAGGATCAAAGGTGACAGTGATGTTTCAAATATTTATTTTGGACAATTGGATAAAAGCTTTAAAAAGCACCAGTCTGACAAAGTCACTCTGCCACATCTCCCAGTTCTTCAAGGACCTTATGTGGCTCCCTATTGCCTCTTGGATAAAAGACAAACTTCTCAGCTTTGGCATTTAATATCCTGCCCCATCTGGCTCCAGTCTGCCTTTCCAGACTTGTTGAGCACTGCTGACCACACTAAGCCTACTTACTGTCCCTTTTCACTTGACAGGTCATGCATGCCCCGTCTCTTTGCACAAACTGTCTACTTAGCCTAGAATGCACTTCCTCCTCACCTTAGAAAATATTCCATCTTCCTTCAAGACTCAATTCATGTGTTCTATCCTTTGAGGAGACTTTTTTTCACTCCCCAGGGTTGTTAATGCTCACTCCCCTTCCTCAAATGACCTTGTATTTGCTTATCACTTTACATCTTTCATTTTCCTCAGTAGAATGTAAATCCCTTGGGAGCAGAGAAGTGCCTTGTTTTGGTTTTGTCTTTATATCCTCAGCATCTGCGACAATCAATGCCTGGTGAGTAATTGATGCTTGTTGAATTAATGAATGAATTTACAGCCCTGAATAGAATGTAAGCTACTTGGAGGCAGGGACTGTGTGGGTCTTGTCTTTGTATCCCCAGTGCTCAGCAGAGTGCCCAGCACATAATAGGTGCCTAATAAATGTTGATTTAGTGAGCAATTAGGAAACCTTTCCAATAGTGTTATAATTTTGTCTTAGTATCACAGAACTTTACACAGGATAGGAACTTAGTTAATGCTTGAACTGGAATTAAATTTCAATTGACTTCTCAACCCAACTGTCCCACTTGGTTTCACATATGCCTGTCTAATACACTTGATTTTATAATTTGGGGGCTGAATTTTTTTAGGGACAGGATTTTATCCTTCCTTTACTTATTGATTCAGATCATTCCCTATTATGCATTTGGGTTAGAAAATCCATATGCACACACCATTTAAAATATTCATTTATTTATATAACTGTGGAAATTAGCTGACATTTATTGAACATCTGCTATGTCAAAGCATGGTGCTGGGCACTATGGAAGATACAAAGCCAGAGAGCATACAGTCCCTATATTTTCACAAGGAGTTTACAATCCCATAAACACTTTATTCCTGTAGCTCTTTCAGGGTTACTAAGCACTTTCCCCAAAGTGAACCTCCAAAGGAAGCAATGAAAGTATTATTGTGCTCACTTCCAATAGGAGGCAATTAAGGTGGTGAGGAGTTAAGTGACTTATCCAGAGTCATACAGCTAGTAGGTTTTTGGAGCTAGGCTATGAACTGGGGTTTTCTGACCCCAGATCTTTCTTTTCATGGCCTCACACAGTCTCTCTGATCTTGAGCTAATGAAATTCAATACAACAAGCATTTAAGTGCCTAGCAAGGGGAGCATAGATTTTAGGGCTGGAAGAGATCTCAGATATCATCTAATCTAGAGGTGGGGAACGTGTGGCCTTAAGGTGGCTTTCTAGGTCCTTGGGTGTAGCCAAATTTTATAGAACAAATCTTTTTATTAAAGGGGTTTGTTCTGTGACATTTGGATTCAGTCAAAGGGCCACACTTGAGGACCTAGAAGGCCACATGTGGCCTCAAGGCTGCAGGCTCCCCATCCAGAACTTCCTCACTCACAGCAGAGAAAGCTGACTCCATCAAATTCAATCCTTTCAATGAGTTACTCATCTGGCCACTGGACCTAGACGGCTCCAAAGGAGAAAGTGAGGCTAGTGACTTTGCACAGCCCTCCCTCACTTAAATCCCATTCACTTACATTTCATGGCATCGCCTCTCTGATGTCACGGTCCTCTTTGAGAACAAAGGACAGACAGCGGCAGCAAAGAGGAATAAGAGGTCTATCTACTAGGATGCACAAATGAAACAGTCCTTGCCCTCAGGGAGCTTACATTCTAATATCAAGCATAGGCATAGATACTTAATTAATAAAAGAAAATTAAATAGATGGAAAAACAAATAAAAGAAATGAGTATCCTCCCTTCCAAGGCCAGATGTCAGGATGAGGGTCAGAACAACTCTAGGAGTTGGACAGCCAAAGAAAGAATCAATCACCAAGGAAGTATTAAGCACCTACTATGTGCCCCATAGGTACTGTGCTACATCGGTGCTGGGGATACGAGACAAAAATGGAGTCTAGCATCTCTCTGTGGTCTAGTTAAAATAGAGAGACAAACCACTGATTCCACAACATATTTTTCTGTCAACCTCTTCTCAAAGAATTTTAAATGACCACATCTATTTGTTGACCCTGATCCTGGCATTTGGTTGTGAAACAAGCCCCCAGGACTCACAAGGAAAGGTTAAATTACATTATTTTCAATATCCCTGCCAGGAGCAGCAAACTATTGTTATCAGATCTGGGCAATTGGTTTGCAGACTCTGAGCTAATTAAGCGGTTACCTGTGAAAGCCTGATTCCTCCCCAATAACTAAACTTCAATGTGTGTTTCGTCCCTCAGATAGACCCGGCTTCCATTGGAGTCATTTGGGCGGTTTATGACCATTTTAATAAGCTCCATGGACAAATGAATGCAATTGATTTGTAAGGGAAACATCTCTCCTTTGTGAGTTTCCACAGGAATATTATCGAGGCATCTTTTCCCCAAATTCATAGGCCTTCAACAAAACCTCTTTTCAAAGCCCAGAGAATCTGCTTGTGTCCTCTTGTCACTAATTGGGACGTCAGCTACCCTGGCAGAATGAAAAGCTGTTAATTATTTCTCTTCATATCTGACAAAATTTCCCCCTTTTCTCCTCTTTCAGAGGGGATCATTAGCCTGACATAGTGAACAAAGCCACATTAGGACCTCAACTTCTTAATGATCAAAAAAGAAAAATCCCCCCACTCAGTCCATTTTCTTATCTTCTATTTAACAACTTTATCATATTTGAATTTGGCCTCATCCTATTATGGAAAGATAATGAGGCTGCTGGTCTGCTGGCTAACCATTCTCCACAGGACGCATTTTTAAAACCTCACGGAAGGTACAGACCTTAACAGCCTAGAGTTGTCTGCACCAATATTTGCAATAAAACAAGTCATAATGTTGAGAGTACGTTGTCCTCTTTTTAATCTTAAACCTGAGCTTTCCTGAATGCACTTAAGTACATATTTAGTGGGATAATGGAAAATGTTCTGCATGGAGAGAAAACCTGGGTTCAAATTCTGGTTCAGACCAACTCCTGTAAGCCAGGTTTGTTTGTTTTTTTTTTTTCTATAAATGGAGGTAATATGTGTCCTAGTTACTTCAGGGGTCTGCCACAAGGGAAGCTTCTTATAAACCTTAAGAGAGGATGAAAGGCAATATGATGTAGGGGAGGTGAAACCCCTAGCCTTAAAGTCAGGAAGACCTGGGTTCAAGTCTCAACTCTGACATATGCTGGCTGTGTTCTGGCCAGGTTACTTAACCTCTTAGATCCTCAGTTCCCTTATCTGCAAAATGGAAATAATAATCTTGCAGTGAGAAGTAGTCTGGTATTGTAGACAGAAAATTGTACTCAAAGCTCGAAAGACCTGGAGTCGTCTCATTTCTGACACATATTGTCTGTGTGACCCTGAGCAAGTCACTAGCCTCTCGGTGTTTTAGGCAATTCTCTAAAATTCTCAGTGACAAATAAGTAGCAGATCTATATAACTGGAGGGAGCTTCCCCACGCCAATGAAACCAGAGGTCCACCTCCCCCAAAATGGCCAGAAATATGAGGTCTTAAGCCAGTTTTTAAAAGTTTCTGTTATTTATCTCTACGGATTTATCTGGCTCAGACATTTTTAGCAAAAGAAAAATGAATTGGATTTCATAAAACATGTCTGAATCTGAATAACTATTTAAGGCTTTAGAAAAATCTAAAGCCAATGGAAAATTTAGGAAAAACTGGTTTTGGAGATAGCTGAGTCAGCATAGGTAGAAGAGCAATCAATCACTCAACAAGCATTTATTAAGCACCTACTATATGCCAGGCTCTGGGCTAGGTGCTTGGGATAGACGTACAAAGAATGATTATATTTCCTTAAACCTTTACACAACTCTTCATATATCCCTACAGTTAGAAAATTAGCTCCATGAGGGCAGGGATTGTATCAAACATTATTATTTATTAATGGATAGCACTTATTAATGGATAACACTGCACAGTTAAGAACTCAGTTCAATGAGCACAATTTTCAATATTCGTGCATTTAACTTTGATGACTTCATGCATCACATGATTTTATCAGTAATTTCATTTTCACTTTCATGTTGACAACCATGCACATTGGCTGCTATGTGCAGTGGAGAAAAAAAATGGAAGGAAGAGGTGGGCAAGTTTGTGAAGAGGCTGGTATCCTACTGGTCTCTTTCACCCTATCATTCCAGAGTAAAGAACACCCCATGCATTTATTGCATAGAATGCTCTAACACCGCCATTTGACACAGGTAAGATTCAGGTTAAAAAATGTTTTAGGTTTTGTTTTTTTTTTTTTTGGTGAGGCAATTGGGGTTAAGTGACTTGCCTAGGATCACACAGCTAGTGTCAAGAGTCTGAGGCTGGATTTGAACTCAAGTCTTCCTGACTCAAGGGCTGGTACTCTATAAAATGTTTTAGTTTTAAGAATTTTATTTGCTGGACAGCATTTATGGTACTGTAGATTTCATGTGATACAAAAAGTGAATATTGTCTGAAATCAATTTTTTTTTTGCTTTTTTGGTGAGGCAAACAGGGTTAAGTGACTTGCCCAGGGTCCCATAGCTAATAAGTGTCAAGTGTCAGGTCCTCCTGACACCAAGGCCAGAGCTCTATCCACTGCACCACCTAGCTGCCCCAAATCAAATTTTTTTAATTGACAAAAGGTCATAAAATTCTAAGGAATCACTAGTGAGAAAAATATATTGCATGTTAACTAATTTTATTTTGTGTATTGCATTTTATGGGTTATTTCATGGTTAATGTATTAGGAAAAGTGCATGTTATCAGAATGAATGTTTTGTTATAAATAACTGTATGCAGAAAAGTACATTTTCAGTAATCTCTACTGAAATAGTACAGTTTTTGGTGGTTGTAAGAACCTAAGCCTTTATTTTCCATAGTTTTAGTGTATCACATGGCCCCTGCCCTCAAGTATCTTACAACTGGATTGGGAAGACAGGACAGGCAAGCCCACACATATAAATAATTAGAGAAGAGTAGGAGACAGTACATAGAATTTCAGAAAGGCCTTCTGAGGCCACACGATCTAGCCCTTACCTAAGCATAAGTAACCCCCATAGCGTCCCTGACAAAGACCTGAGCTTGGACTTCATTTGTGGATGGTTTGGGGGCAGGAGAATATGAAGTAAGAACTGTGCTCTAGGAAAATTCAGCTGTCAGGAGTGTTGAGGATGAGCTTTGGAGGAAGGCACCAGTTGTTTCCATCATCCTAATGACATGAGTCTGACTTAAACACTGAGTAACCTAATCTGCCCCCTTAACGCTCAGCCTGTCATCAGTTAAATTGGTGTTTAGTGCAGATCTGACCTTTCCCTTTCGTTTATGGGAACTAGACTAGATTTGTCGCATCTGAAGGTCAATAAGGTCTGGGCTGGGGGCAGTGCTTCAGTATGAGAGCTAAGAAAAGGGGGTAAGCCACACCATGGCCCTGGTGCCATCCTCTGGGCCTCTCCATCATGCCCCAGAAACCTTCTCATCCTGCAAGATCACTGTGGCCCCAGAACTCACACCTCCTCAATACCTTCTGCCCCTGTGGTCCCTCTCCCCCCTCTGATTGGAGGGCAGAGACTTCTCCTCACAGAACTCCCATTGGAGGAGGGTGCCATCTCTTCCTTTTCCACCCAGCTGCACTCCTGGGTATTTCCCTATCATGCCTCTCCCCACCAATCCCGGTATCTTCTCCCACCTCTGTCTGTGCCCATGCCCCCATTCTCCACTTTTATTTGTTGTCTTCAATGCAGATTGTAAGCTCCTTGAGGGCAGGGACTGCCTTTGCCTTTCTTCGTATTTCCAGCTCTTTGCACAGTGCCTGGCACATATTAGGTGCTTAATATGTGTTCACTGACTAGCTACAAGATATATATAACCCACCAGTCCATTACATGCCCCTCTTTTCTCATTTCTCTCCTGTCTTTACCCCTCTCTTTTCTAGTTCTCTTGTCCCTCCTTCCTTGCTCTCCTAGACAGCCCTCCCTCACTTAAATACAATTCATTTGAAAGTCATGGCATCACCTTTCTGATGTCATGGTTCTCTTTGAAAACGAAGGATAAACAATGACATCTGTCTCCCCTTTCTTCTTTTATTTCTCTCCATCCCCCTCTTCTGTTTCCTCTTGCCCTTTTATTTTATGCCTCTAATGATTTATGGCTATTGGTTCGCCCATTCGCTGAAACAAAAGTTTAAAAGTTTGTTGACTCCCACTTTGGACTGCCATGGCTTTATGTCTTCACATTACAGGGCATGAGAGATGATGGTAAGGTTAAGCAGATTATTTAGCTGGTTAAATGCCTAAATCAAACAGGAATAAATAATAGATCCATGAAAGTTGGAGAAAGGTCTCCAATAAAGTGCTCTAGGGATCTGTCTTTAGTTTTGTTTTGTTCGACATTTTTATCAATGATGGGTTAAAGGCAAAGATGTAAGGTGTCAAGTGTATTATTTATACATGAACTGAAGTATCGTTTTCAGTTCTCCCACCATATTTTAGGAAGGACATTGAAAAACTAGAGGGTGTCCTTAGGAGGGCAGGCAAGTTAGTAAAAAGATTGGATACCATGGCTAAATTAAAGGAGGCTTGGAGAAGGGAATGCATAGAAAGGACATGATAACTTTATTTAGACATTTGAAAGGCTGACATGGGAAAGAGGGAGTAGTATTATTCTTCTTGGGCCTGGAGGTCAGAATTAGGAGTCAAAGAGCAAAAATGGTGGAGACAGGTTTTGGCTAAACCTAAGAGATGCATCAAAATGGAATGGGATGCTTTAGGAAGTAATGAGTCCTCCATCACTGGAGGTCTTCAAGCAAATGTCGGATGACTACCCGTTAAGAATAGAAGAGATTCCTATTCTACAAGGTCCTGTCAGTTCTGAGAGTTTGCGGGTCTAGGATTCTATAAAAGGCTATATTATGTCACTTTTGAAAAGAGCGTTGAATTATAGGTGGGAATAAGTTTACACTTGCTGATTTTACCAAGTAGAGAGGGTCCAGGAGCAGTGTCTTTCTAGAAAATCTATGTTTCACGGAAAAGATGCCAAGCCCAGTTTTCTTCCTGAATCATTATGGCCTCATGAATATTACAAAGAGGAACCTAAATTGGGCTTGTGAATTTCTGACTTTGGAATTTGAAAAAAAAAATCAGACAAATTACCCCGGGGCTTAATTTTTAAAAAAAAGAAAAAGAAAGAAAACTTAAATGAGAGAGACAGTGAATGACCATTTAATCTTTCCTTCCCTCCTTTTTGAGAAGGCCATCCCACACTCTGTAAACAGCTGAAAAGGAAAATGTCTCCGATTTGACAGGACACAATGGATCTAACACAACACGGAAATGCCAGGAGATGTGTGTGGGGGATGGCGAGAACAGGGGGAGGAAGGCCTTCCTTGATGGGCTGGCACGGAGGAGGCCTGAATGATCCGACGTTTCCATTTCTAAATTTTCTCCCTGAATAGAGGCTATTGTGTGAGCAGGATTCCAGCAGCACTGAGCGTCCCCAAGAGTGTTGGGATTTACTAACCCTTGTGCCGGAGGAAGCCGGAAAGTATTGGGCAGAAGGCATTTTTACAATATTTGCCTGTTTTCTTCAGGGAAAACCACGTGGTCCAATTATCGTAGGCTTTCTGACTGGCATATTATTTGTTCCTTATATAGAAGGAGTCTTGGGGAAAAAAGGAATGATGCAAGTGGTGTGGAGAAAAGGGAGAATGGAGGGCAGGAGAAACAGAGTTCCCACCCCCAAGGGATGGACATTGGAAGAGCCCACCAATAAGAAGCCAGTGGCTCTCCAACTATATTGTTCCAAAAGGTGATCAATCATTCAATCAACAAACATTTATTAAGCTCCCACTGTATGCCAGGTATTGGGTATACAAAGATACAAACAAAACAATTCCTGCCCTCAAGGAGTTCCTATTCTTTCAAGGAAAATAAGATATAGGGCTCATGGAGGCAATTCTTAATTAAATTAAATTCTTCCCACAGCAGTATTTGATAACATTCCTCCCCCTGTCCCTTGAGATAATCTGCATAAGAGAAAAAGTGCTACACTTGGAGCTAGGGGTATCTGAGTTCAAATCCCAGCCCTGACTTAGTAGCTGAGCAACCCCAAGCATGGCATTTACCATCTCAGAACATCAGGGTCACTTCTCACATGGAGACACTGATTCCCCATTATCTCCCATGGACAAGAGGAAAGTGCTTTGTAGACTCCTCAGGGCTAAAGAGAGGTGAGCTCTCATTATTATGTCCTATCTCTTGTCTTATGTTGGCTTGCTTTGATTGCTCTCCCATAAGCACACAAGGAGCTGTTGGTGAATGATTCATGACACGCCCTCCCCTCCAAAACACTCTAGGTAACCCAGAGAGTCTTAGATGCAGACCCTCCCCCCAATCCAATGAGGAAGTCGTAAGCAAAGAATGGCCTGAACCATTTGGCATACACATATCATTTGGGGTTGGGGGGTGGGGGTGGAGGGACCAGATTGGAAATTCCTAGTAAGGAAAATCCCTCCCCAGATACAGGTCAGTATCTGCTAACAAATTCCTCATGGGAGAGAGCTCCCCTGAGGCACAAAGAGGGAATTTGCCCAGGCTCACATGGCTACCCATGATCCTCCTCACTCCACTCCATCATTTGTGTCTCTATCAAATCATGGAGTTGGACAGGGTGATTTCCCCAGGTCCTTCATATCAGCACTGGTGCAAGGAGAGGACACTAAACTGAAAGTCAAGAGATTCGCGTTTGAACCCCATCTCTACAAAATACTGTGCAGGCAACTTACTCCCCCTCTTTGGAGCCTCAGTTTCTTCCTCTGTACAATGAAGTGGCTGGACCGGAGAGCCTCTAACATCCCTTGCAGCTCTAAAGCCTTTGCTCCAGAAGAGGCATGTGCTAATAAAAATGAATATGCCCATTCTTTGTGTCATTAGGAATCCCCACTCCCGGGGCAGCTAGGTGGCGCAGTGGATAGACCACTAGCCCTGAAGTCAGGAGGACCTGAGTTCAAATCCAACCTCAGACCAAACACTTGCCACTTACTAGCTGTGTGACCCTGGGCAAGTCACTTTACCCCAATTGCCTAAAAAAAAAAAGGAATCCTAACTCCCAGCAGGTCTAGTCAAGAGAAGCATCTTCCAGTGGTCTGCCCCTAATAGGAAGTGTTTAGCTAAATGCAAAGGATGGGGCAGGGTCAAGTCTACTACAGAAAAAATAACAACAACCAGAAACAATG